GCGCACATTTTATGCACCCCCCCCCCCTCGTAGCTAAATGTTGGGTAGAAAGTGCACATTGGGCTCATTTTGCTCTAATTACCCTGCTCTGTGCCTGTGATTTCACCTTGAAATTCGCATGGTGTCTGCTTCTCGCTCGTCTCCAAGCTGTCTCGTGACCTTGACGTCGGCTCCCTCCTCGCATCGGCTAGTGTCTCTTTTTCAAAACAAGCTTGTGCATTGCACAAAATGGTTTGTTCAATGGTTAGTCTCTAGTCCCCTAAGCACATAATTCCATTTCTGCACCCAACCCTCATTCTGCAACTGTGTAATGTGCTTTTGAACGTAGTAATACTATCACCATACTAACGCAAACTACGAAGCCTTGCTATTAGCCGAGATTCGAGCTGGACGCTGTCTGTTCTGAGCACTGAAATGCGGTCGGTAGCAGGGTCAACCGTGCGTTCGCACTATTCGAAGGGGGTCGCATTTGTGGTTGATTTTGGGAAGGGGGTCGCATTCAGGGTGGTGGAGTGGGATTAGTAATTTGTTGAGTGGAGGTGGAGGGTGATTTAGATCGGTAGGGATTTTGGAGGATGTAATTGGTGTACGGTGAATGGTGCGATGGTGTGGGGTTGGGGATAGGAGGGTAGGACAGTAGTGGTGAGAGAAAATTAGCCCTTTCATTGCTCGACTGGTCTCAGAATCAAATACTATAGAACAGCCATGATGGCGAGGGTGGCGGTCGGGGTGAGCTAGGCAGGGGTTGCATTGGGGAAGCTTCCTTCTCTGATGGTGGTGGTGGGGGTCGCGAAATTTTTGAAAATGTGCGAACGTCACGGTTGACCCTGGTCGGTGGCCAGAGCTCCTGCGCTGCGGCCGGCAACTGAATTTCGAGACTCTTATAGGTTTTTATGGTATTTGAATTTCAAGGAGATTTTATCGCAATCAGAATACAGAAAAAGGTCAATTTCAAGACAGGGCGTGAGGCGTCCCTACAAAGGGGTCAAAGGGTATCTGTAAACGATGAGTGCATACCTTGGCGTACTGCACATAAGCACGATTCAATCGCTCAATTGGATTTTTCAGCCGCGACTTTGGTATAAGTTCGAATTTGACTTTTGGTAAACCGTTATCCTGAAAAATAATGCAGATGAACAAGATTGGTAGAATTCCTTCTACTTCCATAACTTTCTTGAAATCTGTAAAGCATTCCCTCTCGGTAGAACCTGAGCTGGTTCTATTCCAATAAGGGAGGTGAGGGGTGGAGGACATTTGGTGAGGCAGTGTATGCCGCCTATAGCAATTCCTATTTATGCAGGGAAAGGAGGCTTTGGGATGGATATAAAAGTGAAGCTAGGAAGTTCATCCGAGGGATTCTTCTTGCAAAATGCGGGTATTTCTGCAGGTGCCTACAACCTGTCGTACCACATGCCCATTTTATAGATTAGACCCTCTTAGTTTATCTTGACAAAAATGGCCATTTTACAAAATCATAATTGTTGGCAAGGACGCCCACGCTGCGACGTCGCACTGAAACTCGGGCTCCTTATGCGCGACGTCAGCTTCGCCTCCTTGTCGCAACGTGGACTTCCTGGACCAAATCTATGGAGGAACTATCACATTACGGAAAATGCTCATTATGAGAACGTCACCGCTGCTGCTCCCTGGTTGATAGCAATGCAGAACTGCTCCAAGAAAATGTCACTGTTATTAGGAGGGGCAGTCGCCAACGCGATGTGAGACAGCGGTATCTGCAGTGCGAAACGAGTAACCCGCTAGCTTAGGAGGTGAAAGAGAGGGCGAGTCAACTGACGAGTTGGAATGTGCACTTCTCCACTATCTCGGTTAGAAAGCAGGACAAGCCACGCGACGCGGCGCTGCACTCCCCCACGTCAGCCTCACCATCAACTTCAGTAGCAGCACAAAAGCTCGTTCAGATAGACAGCCACACCTAAAGCTGGGTGCCAGTAAGTTCTGGGGGGGGGGGAGTTACCACTCCGTGGAGTGGCCCTCTCAAGCGCGATGGCACCCACTGCATGACAGCCTAGAATGAGGGTAAGGCCTGCGACAGTCCCTGAATTGGGATTTCGCTTGACTTCAGAATCACTTTTGGGACTTTTTAAACCCCTTCCTAGGCTCAGTTCCAACGCTTGAGCCCCATGCGGTCCCCTCTCACCCCCCCCCATAACTCACTTGCACCTTGATTTTTTGCGTATGTTCCACGCATAAGAATAATGCAGATAACCGTATTTGGTCGAACTTCCTACTCTATTTATGTCTTCTTCAACATATGGTAGCATTGTGGTCCAGGTACTCTCTTCTTGAACACCAGATGTGGGCGTCGAGTGCAGACTACACACCGCAAGTGACGACGGCCTTCAACTGGATCAGTTACTAGTGATCCATAGTGGATAGCTGATAGTTGGTTAAATGATAGTTGCAATCAGAGGACAACTAATAGAATACAACTGAAACCGGCTAATCATTTCATTGACAAAAAGCATTTACATTTTGTGTAGGCCGTCGTCATTCGTGGTGTGTGGTCTGCATTCGCAAATCTGGCTTTAGAAAGCAGAGGATAGTAACATATTTTGTAGAGTAGAACACACCTCTCTGTCTAATGTAATTTTCAATTCTAGCTCGGTACTGCCGGAACCATTTACAATTTCTAAGACATTCTTGATCAACTGAAACTGGACCGCTTTTCTAACAATGTCCTATGAGGTTCTTGAAATCCAGATGAGACCTGATTAACAAAGTCCATTTCGATGTCGCCTTTGCGATGGTCGGCCATGTACGGGCCGTCGGGTTGCATTCGCTCACAGAACAAAGCATCCGTTATTGGTAGCGCTCTCGGTGCCTCTTCAAAGGACGCCTTCACTTTGTTAGCGCTGAGTAGCTTTTCCGGTGGTAAAACACTTGCCTGCAATCAGAAATTCTCAACGAAAATGAGCAGCAAAATGAGTGCAAAGGGAAGCCTGAGGGCAACCTCTCAGACAAAGCTCAATGTCCCGCTTTTCAGCGATTCTGATTAGTCAAGTGAAGTTCCGCGGTAGGGCTGAAATGGCTTACAGAAACATACACTCACGGTGACCGTTCTCTTAAAGGCACGCTCCGGATTAGGCGCGCTCGCCTGTTCCATCCCGGGGTAGTAGGACAGGCGGACAAGCGTTGATGTCGCGCCCCTTTTGCCGCTTGAAAGTGCGCGACAAAGGCGCAAGGAGCTCGTCCGACCCAACCTTCGTCCGCAACCCCCCTCCCCCTCGCTGTCGGTGGCTGCTTGAAAAGCGCGGGCGCATTTGAGGCAGCGGTCCCATTGCGACCCAATGTCATTGGCACTGGAGCAACTAGAGTTAGGTTCGTGAAACTCGTCCAACGCGCCCTTCTCTATCCCAAGGTGGAATGCGGCTGAAATAGGGGAGGTCTCTGTGCGGGGCGTAATCGGTGGTTTCGTTTGCTTTCCTTCTCTTTTCCAGACCACCTCCCACCTCTAGCTTCATAACTGAACGCTTTTCCACACCTATTTTATCCCGAATCTTGCCTTTAAAGGAGGATTCTCTATAGGGACGATCACCCAAAGGTGCAAACCGACACGCAATTCGCATCAAAGGATATGCCCCCCCCCCGATCTAGCATGGCCTTCCCGCGGCCCAATTGGCGCGCCATTGGCGCGGTACGCCCCCTCTCGTCTCGTGTCTGAGTCTCTAGCCTTTAGCAGAGAGCGTTAGCGTTGAAGAGGGCAGCGACGACTAGAGTCGCATCAATGCAAGTCGATGGGCAAAGAAGGGGTTCCATTTTCATTTTTCTGGTTAAGCCATTTTTCCTGTTTTTGCTGTTTTCCTGTATCAGCGGGCCGTCCCTAAACCCTGTCGGTGGCATTTTCCATATAAGACCCCACCCTTGAAGCAACACCCCCCGATAGAATTCAGGGTAACAGCTGTCGATAATGGAGTTGTGGATGCCAAGAGTTGATTAAAAAAGAAAAAAAAGCAAAGAAAACCGTGGATGAAGAACGCCTAAACAAGGATTTCCCTTCGAAAAAAGGAAAGGGGCGGGGCCAGACGAGTTGTACGAACTTGCCTGCTCCACGCTCAACTAACCCGCGCGTATTTGAATTAGCCGCTACGCCGTAATCCACGTTGCGTGTCATGGGGTGTGCGCGACGTAACTCGTCCAAATGCTAAGATTAGTCGCCAAATGCTGACTTTGTAAGACCCTAGCGCCATTGTCGCGCACTTTCGAGCCGCGACAACGGCACATCTGTGCTACTCGTGGGCTACTCTATCCCACCCACTGAATAGATTCTTCGACACATCTTCTGGGAGTGTTGCCTTGAATTTTTTACAACATTCCTTGAACGATGCTCTGCTGAAATGACCCACCTTTTGCTCTTTCTTCAAATTTTCTAGTGGTCCTGATTCAATGTCTGATACCGAGTCTAGAGATATGGTTCCTTGGGTCTGAAATAGTGTCGGTGTCTGATACCCGTAGACTTGTTCCTTGAAGCATTAGTTACTAAAAGACAGTACCTGCGTGTAAACGGAGAGGATATCATTCTCAAATTGGATCGGAGGCTCTTCTGGGAGTATCCTTACTTTCAAATGCTGGAAACCCCACATTTTTTGTTTCGTCGCAAGAATTTCAAACGTGAAAAAAAGGAAATAGTGCTTCCTTCTTTTACTTTTCACAATTTTCGCTAAACCTCTAACCCCTTATAAGTAACTGCATCATAACCCTTCATTGCCGTAGGCTTGCACTTACTCGCTTCACGAGAAGAGGAAAACAAGGACATCAGTCACCTTTCGCTCGAATCGTTCCAAGAACGATTTCAACAAACGCTACCCATTTAGCTACTTAGCGCTACACATGAGCTTCATTGTAGCGATCTTCGAATATAAACGAGGCCAATTCAAAATACTATAATTGTACCTTATTTCTCACTTGACGAACGGATCTTGTCATTTTAATTGATCGAGAGCTCTCCTTGCTACTCTGAAATGAAAACTAAGAATAATTTGCTGAGATCTATTCCAGTTAGGGGGCATCATGATGCAGTTTTTCCAGAAAGCTAGGGTAACTCCGAGCCAGGGGGAGTGTAGCCAGTCTACGGGGGTGGGGGTGAGGGCAGTCACTTGACATGCGTGAAAAGCTGGAATGTTCGAGTTCACACTAGTTCGCCGAGAAACTGCA